CTCTCTCTCTCTCTGGCAAATAAATAGAAGTAAAATGTTTAAAAAAACAAAAACAAAAACAAAAACAAAAACAAAACCCGACTTTTTTTTTTTTTTTTTTTAAAGTAATTTCCGTACCCAGTGTGGGCTTTGAACTCATGACTGAGATCAAGAATTGCATGCTCTACCAACTGAGTCAGCCAGGTGCCCCCAAATCCAACTTCTTACATGGACACAACACAAGCAGGACGGAATGAATTTGCGTATGGATGCTCTGCGGAAGCAAGATGGTAGATTGTTTTCTTTATATGATTGTAAAGTGACACTCATTGAGGAATAAGTTAATTGTTAGGGTTTTTAATGTGAGCAAGGCAGAATACTCAATGAGCAGGTAAAAAAAAAAGTTGAGTGCTAGCCAGCTGATGGTTACTTTTTTTTTCTGATAAAATTTTATTTGCAGTAGATCTATATAAATGCTTTATCACAGAACATAAAGATTAGCTGTAGTTTCCATTTTCCATTGGTATATTTCTGGGTTTTCTCATTTTTGGAAAGGTTTACTTTTATCTCTGACTGAAATAAATATCTGTTTAACAGTTACAATGAATGAACTATTCGTTGTGCTTATTGCTAAAATCACTACTGCCTTTGATTTATAATAAAAGATTTCTCCAGAAATCAAAATTAATACAAGATCCATGTTAATTTCTGGAAATGAATTGTTTTAAGTATTATTTAAGAAAATGCTTGATGACTTCTTGTAATATTCATAAAATATTTTACTTTTCTTCTTTGAAGCTGTAATTTTGAGTATATTAGAGCTTTAGATTACTTAGAAATTATCTAATTTGTAATCTTGGTGTGAAAGAAAAAAAGTGGTATAGTTTAGTTTGTATTACCATGCTATGAAAGTTTAATGAGGTTTTTGTCAAGAAGAAATCTATAGGGGCACCTGGGTGGTTCAGTCATTCAGTGTCTGCCTTGCCTTTGCCGTCCTGGGATTGAGCCCGCATTGAGCCCGCATCAGGCTCTCTGCTCAGTGGGGAGCCTGCTCCTCTTCCCCTGCTTGTGTTTTTTCTCTCTCTCTCTGTCTCTCTCTGTGGAAAAAATAAAATCTCAAAAAAAAAAAAAAAAAAAAAAGAAATCTTTAGGGGTGCCCCGGTCTCTCAGTCTGTTAAGCAGCTGCCTTCCGCTCATGATCCCAGCATCCTGGGGCTGATTGAGCCCCACGTGGGCTCCCTGCTCAGAGGGGAGTATGCTTCTCTCTCTCCCTCTGCCCCTCCCCTCCGCTCATGCTCTCTTTCTCTCAAATAAATAAGTCTATAAAACTTCAAAAACTAAATTTTGTCTCAGCATGCAGTATCCAATAGGAGTTATCTTGTATTCAGTTAATATAGGACATAGTAAATGGGATGATTTGTATTTGAGTTATAGTAATGCCCTAACTTGTTGTTTAAAAAAACAAGCTGGTATACATTATTTATGATTTTATTAAGGAAATCAGGCTGAATATGTAGATCATCTGATTTTGTTGTTCAGGACTCTTGGTTGCTGGTGACAAACTGCATGAGAGCTTAAGTAAAAGAAGGTATGTCTTTATTGGCAGGATACTGGAGCAGTTCATATAATTGAAGAACTGTGACAGCCAGATAGAGGACTTGGAATTGGGGGTACAGTGTCTTAATTATTCTAGTTTGGCATCTTGCTGGGCTTTGCTGTGATTTCTCTCAGGCTTCTCCTGGCTCATGGTGAAGAGAGTCTCTTCTTCCTTTTGGTGACTCAGTAATATTTTCCACTGTGCCCCTTCACCAAAAGAAATAGTAATATTTCCATTTATTAAGTAGTTTGGACCAAACAGCTTAAGTATTTATTTCCTAACAATTTAGCTACTTGAAAAATTATTATATATGATTTGAAAGAAAACATTTTAATTTTAATATGTGTGCCTTTTGGGTACTATACAAATTCTCAAACCTTGGAATCAGGTATTCCAGCTTTTTTTCCTTTTTGGCACTGATTTTTATATGATACTTGGGTTTTATCATAGCAACTTGCTTAAAACCCCCATTTCTTAAGTATTGAAAGGAATTTTTTTGAGCTACTTTTGAAATTATGAATGACCTCAGATCGTTGTTTGTGTGGTTCACATACGTCAGTTACTGCTATTTCCCTCAAGAAACTTAAGATTCCCTGTAGTGCCCCTTTGAGTTTACTGTGGTACCCTCAGGGTGCCTTAGCACACAGCTTGGAAACCATGATTCTAGAAGAAGAAGAGGGATTTTTTTTTTTTTTTTAAGGTAATCTCTATGCCCAGTGGAGATTGGGCTCAAGACCCTGAGATAAAGAGTTGCATGTTTACCTACTGAGCCAGCCAAGCGCAAAAGGAGAAAGATTCTGTTTTTCTACTTGGATCATGTGGTTGAGGGAATAGGCTATAATTTGGTCAACCTGGGTATGATCGATATTCACCCATTCCTCTGCTTACAAGAGCATGGTATTCCATTGTATGGGTATATCAATTTACCTATTTACACTTGTTTCAAAATTGCAGGGCATAAATTAACATCTTGTGTATCTGTGTCTATTTCCATAGCACAGAGTCTATTAAGTCTCATCTAATACTTAAACTATAAAAAACTTATGGATTTGAAAGCATGATATTTGTGATTTCATAATTATCTGGGTAATTGAGAATCAAAGACCTAAATTTAAGAGCTAAAACTGTAACTATAATACTCTTTCTGAGGAGGAAGCCCGATGCGGGGCTCGATTCCGGAACCCAGAGATCATGACCTGAGATGCTTAACCTAGTGAGTCACCCAGGAGCCCCTGCTTAAAACATCCTTAACAGTTGGTCTCAGTTGCCCATTAATATGAGGTTATACTAGGGGTGCCTGGGTGGCTCAGTGGGTTAAAGCCTTTGTCTTCAGCTCAGGGTCCTGGGATCTAGCCCCTGCATTGGGCTCTCTGCTTAGTGGGGAGCCTGCTTCCTCCTCTCTCTCTGCCTGCCTCTCTGCCTACCTGTGATCTCTGTCTAATAAATAAATAAAATCTTTAAAAAAAAAAAAAAGGTTATACTTGTAGTGATAGCGTTTTCTCTCCCTGTTCTTGTTGTCACTGTAAAACAAAAACAAAAACAGCATTATTAAAAAGAAAATTGGCTTTGTTTTTTCTAAATACCATGCCCAATATTATTACCAGTGCTATAGAGTTAGCTATTCATGTGGATGCAGTACCATTCAGATTCTTTGCCAGTTATCAGAAATTGTTATATATATACAATTGAAAAATTATATTGGCTTCAAATTGGAAGGAACTATGTAGTCTCACCGATTTGTGAACCTGTCTGCTCTTCCTTTGTTAATTCAGGAAAAGTTGAGAAAAGGACAGAGAAGGAATTCAGTTTTCAGGGGAGAAGCAAAATTATTACACAAGGAATGGAATGTAAAAAGGATTTTCTAGGAGTGGCTTGATCATAAATCTCTTGCTTTTTTTGATGGCTTCAAAGAAGTCAAAGAGGATTAAGGCCACTTCCCTCTTGCTGTCACTTTTATATTCCATATCCTTGTCTTGAAGCAGTGTTTTTTTTATCTTTATAAAAACCATTATTTTATACATACATGGCATTATTTTTTTTTCAAAAGTGACATTTTTATTAATACCAGTTCAGGACTGATATTGCAGCTATTACCAAGTTCTTAGTCACTTCAAGAAGTCTTTATGTGTTAGTCAGACAACATTATACCATTAATTATGATCGTGTATTACCTATTTTTAGCTTAATGTTGGAACATGAAAGTAGAGAGTACCTCACCTATAGCATTATCACCTATAGCTATTTAATTGTTTATGAGAAAATTTTTTATGATTTATCCCCAACCCTTAGAGATAAATATTATTTCATTAACTAATCAAAGCATTTTGAGTAGCTCTTGAGGGAACTTGCAAACTATGTGTGTTTTGAGGGAGACAGAGAGAAAGAGGGAAGGAGGGAGAAGAATTTGGAAAAGGTGGAGAAGTAGAATTTGGTAAAAGATAATAAATGCTAAATCGTGTGTACCTGCAAAAATGCAGTAAAAGCTTAGTGGTCTAAAATACTAGAAGAGCTCTGATGATCTGTTTCGTATTAAAAAGTCTAGTCTTGGGACGCCTGGGTGGCTCAGTGGGTTAAGCCGCTGCCTTCGGCTCAGGTCATGATCCCAGCATCCTGGGATCGAGTCCCACATCGGGCTCCTTGCTCAGCAGGGAGCCTGCTTCTCCCTCTGCCTCTGCCTGCCACTCTGTCTGCTTGTGCTCACTCTCGCTCTCTCTCTCTCTCTGACAAATAAATAAATAAAAATCTTAAAAAAAAAAAAATAAAAAAATAAAAAGTCTAGTCTGTGTATAGGAAACAACATAAACAATGGCAAGGAATTTGGAATGAATATAGAATGTCCTAGAGGGGAAGAGTAAGACCCTCATTTGAGGCAGACCTGGTTGTTTGAGAGAAAAGGGCCTCATTTTGGGAAGACCTTATTGTTGAGATGGATGTATTAGATCTTGACAACTATAATGATTGGTACCCTGAGAGTTCATGTGTTGATTGTGCGTATAGAATAGCACAGTTAATTTTGCTTGGCTCACTCAGTTAAGTGATTTCTTCTTAAGTGTCAAATGGCTACTAGAATTTTTGCTTCAGAAAATCACATACTACTTTTTTATTTTGAACTTTGAAAGTTTATAATGCATATGAAAGTTAAAATGTATATTGGAAATAAGGCCGTTATAAGGCCTTATTCTATATGAAGACAGGTAGGTAGAATTGTTGGATTTATGGTAAGAACTAGAATATAGAGGTTTTAAATGGACATGGGTGCTAAATAGAAGGCCATGGTTTATTTCTTGTATTTACCTAAATTATGGTTTGTTTGTTTTTTTAATTCAGAAGGTAGTTATTGAGCATGTTTCTTGTCCTTGTCAGAATTCATTTGATTTGAAGATACTTGTGCAGTAACTCTTCTAATGTTATCTCCATTTTACAGATGAGGAAACTTCGTGAACTTCCCAGACTGACACAAGTAAGTTTAGAGTCAAAATTCCTATCTAGAGGGGCGCCTGGGTGGCTCAGTGGGTTAAGGCCTCTGCCTTCGGCTTGGGTCATGATCTCAGGGTCCTGGGATCGAGCCCCACATCGGGCTCTGTGCTCTGCAGGGAGCCTGCTTCCTCCTCTCTCTCTCTCTGCCTGCCTCTCTGCCTACTTATGATCTCTGTCTGTCAAATAAATAAATAAAATCTTAAAAAAAAAAATTCCTATCTAGAATAGTCTGATTCTAGAATCTGTGATCTTACCTAATAAGCTATATTGTAGTGTCTCTCATTAATACATAGTGTAAGGTCATTGGGTTCCATTGTTAAGTAGTAAAATACGTTACATATGAAATCATAATCTGTCTAGTAGAATATACAGAAATGTAAATAATCATAATGACATTTGGTATTATAAAATAGAGCTATATTTATATTGAAAGTGCACATGAACTCTGCAGGGAGGCTTTCACAGTGAAAGCTTTGTTTTCAAGGAAGAATTGAAGGATACATAGTATTTAACCAGATAGTTAAAGCAGTATGAGTAAATTAGGCGGAAGTAATAGCAGTGACAAAAACTCATGGATGGAAAATTTGAAAGCACCTTCAAGTTGTTCGTTTTGGATATAAATGTCATAGGGCATATTTTTTTGAGCAAGGATGTTTCAGTGAAACTTCGGTTGATCGGATTGGATTTGTCAGGTGATGTTAAAAGAACCAGTTCTTTCGTGACTTCATTTGTAACTGGTTGTTTTGTTTCTTAGGTAACTAAGGTCTACATAAATTTAATTTAAATGTTTGAGAATCAGTTAGCTAGACCAAATGGTGGTGATACTAGTCTCATGGAATGGAAATATGGAAATTGAGCATTTCAGGAAGAGCAGTAGGAGATGGCATCAGATTTTGTTATTGGAAATGGTCAAATGATTGCTAGCCTTGAAGTCCTAGGCCTACCAAGATTTTCAGTGGAGTATTAAGAAAGAAAGAATGGTGGGGGGAGGGGATGGAGGCTGATGATAGATTTTTGTTAAGGATATGTAGAGTTAGGATATGTGCTCCAGTGACAGTTCAGAGGAGACCTTGTACCCTGTGGTACTGTGCTAGTAATAGTCGCTGGGGTTGGGGAAAGTGCGGGAACTCTGGTGGTAGCAGAAACCTTAGGTTTATCTTTTGTGTGGGGGAAGGACGAGACACTCTTGTTACATGTGGCCCTGGTCAGGTCTGCTTATGAATGGGTTCAGACTTTTAGTGAATTGAAAGGATGTCTTACGAAGAAAAATGAGAGATTAAAGCATCTTGAAGAAAGATAGTTATGTAATAATTTCTATATATGAAGGATTTATAGTAGCATATAGTATCACCTAGACCTCTCATTAATACATTACCTGCATGATTTTTTTCAACATCTGTATGCTAAATGGGAATGCATCTTAGAATCAGTGGCATGTTATAGTTGAATCGGAGTTTTTTTCTTAGGGGTGTGTAAGTTTAATAGTGTGCTTTGAATTTAATGGCATCAGAGTCAACAAAATTTTCTTCAGTGCAGAATTTTTTTTTCCGTGCATAAATACATTTTTTAAAGGTATTCATATTTCATTTAAGTCATCTCAAATATCCTAATGGCCTGTATACCTCTTAATGAAAACACTGGTAATTGAAAATATAACTGTATGCTGTAGAATGTAGGGTTTGGGTTAAATATTGAGGGTGTAAATCAATAGAAAAGAAAAAATAAGCTCTAAGGTCCTCTGTTTCTTTGCATTTTAGCATATGTAAGTGGCCTGATTGAAAACAGTAATACACAATGGGTTGTTTAGTCATAGGCCTGCTGTTTACCAGAGAGCTATATAAACACATTATTCTTTCTGCCTTTTTGAGACATTGGTTCCTCTGACTGTTTTCAGGTTGGAAAATGCAAGAAACTGAGTGGTGCTGATGGACCTTGGAGGTGTGATATTATTTTTAATAGTTATGTCCACACGCTTATTGGAAACTTGAGAATTTGAATTATTTGTGTGAATTGTTTTTTCCTTTTTTCCTTTTTTAAGATTTTTTTAATGTATTTGACAGAAAGTGACACAGTGAGAGAGGGAACACAAGCATGGGGGAGTGGGAGATGGAGAAGCAGGCTTCTCACAGAGCGGGGAGCCTGATGTGGGACTCGATCCCAGGACCCTGAGATCATGACCTGAGCTGAAGGAGGACGCTTAACGACTGAGCCACCCAGGCGCCCAGATTGTTTTTTTTCATGTTGAATTGAATAGTACTTAAGTTTGTGATGTATAAGCAATATACTTGGAATATTCCATAATTTGTACAGAATAGGTTTAGAGTAGGTTGGATGTTTGAGAAGTTTTTCATCTTGTTTTAGAGAATATTTTACCTATATTTTAATATGTTTAGTATAAATAGAAGTTATTTAAGCCAGTATGCTTTTTTTATTACTCCCTGCTCCCCGTTAATGGGTTAAGCAAAATGATAGTTTAAGGATTTTTGTCTTCAGTATGAAGCCATGACTTGAGTTTTTAGAGTGGCTATTTTAAGTGTAGTTACTTAAAACCAAAAAGGGAGAATTCTCTTTTGCTTAAGAGCTCATTTCTTATTAGTCTGGAGTACTTTTGCCCTCCTTTTGTTTAAAGCATGTCAGTGATGGGGTGCCTTGGTGGCTTAGTGGGGTAAGCCTCTGCTTTTGGCACAGGGCATGATCCTCAGGGTCCTGAGATTGAGTCCCTCATTGGGCTCTCTGCTTAGCAGGGAGCCTGCTTCCCCCTCTCTCTGTGCCTGGCTCTCTGCTTACTTGTGATCTCTCTCTCTTTCTCTCTCTGTCAAATAAATAAATAAATAAAATCAAAAAAAAATGTTGATGAATTCTACTTTTTGACTTTAGCTGAAAGGTTTTTTTCTTCCTGTATTTATTTGGATGGCAGTGACATGTTGTTCTCTGTTTACATGAGATAAATGTTACTAGTTTAAAAGTGTGGGTCTTGGGGCATCTGGGTGGCTCGGTGGGTTAAAGCCTCTGTCTTCAGCTCGGGTCATGATCCCAGGGTCCTGGAATTGAGCCCTGCATTATGCTCTCTGCTCAGCGGGGAGTCTGTTTCCCTTCCTCTCTCTCTCTGCCTGCCTCTCTGCCTGCTTGTGATCTCTGTCTGTCAAATAAATAAATAAAAATCTTAAAAAAAAAAAAAATTGTGGGTCTTTCTCTGGGAGTTCTGTTGAATTGTCTTAAAAGGATGGTCTTAAGAAGATGTTGTTCTAGTCATGATCCCAGGGTCCTGGGCCCCGCATCGGGCTCTCTGCTCCGCAGGGAGACTGCTCTCTCTGCCTGTCTCTCTGCCTACTTGTGATCTCTATCTGTCAAATAAATAAATAAGTAAAATCTTTAAAAAAAAAAAAAAAAAAAAAGAAGATGGTGTTCTGGTAAAACAATTTCTGGTCTTTTGGCTATTTAGTAATTGAGAACAGCTTCAAAAGGGTAGGTATTTGGGGCACCTGGGTGGCTTAGTGGGTTAAAACCTCTGCCTTTGGCTCAGGTCATGATATCAGGATCCTGGGATGGAGCCCCGAGTCGGGCTCTCTGCTCGGTGGGGAGCCTGCTTCCTCCTCCCTCTCTCTCTGTCTCTCTGCCTGCCTCTGCCTACTTGTGATCTCTGTCTGGCAAGTAAATAAATAAAATCTTAAAAAAAGGGGGGGGTAGATATTTGACCTTGCCATTTAAAACACAGCCTGCGTTGTAGTGTGTGGTTACTGGAGGCTGTTTGGGTTTTTATTGGCTTGCCTTCAAAAATATGAGTAGCCCCCTACCTAATTGCCATGATATTAATTTTAACTAGGCCAGTAGGAGAGTAGATTCTTTTCATTGCACATAACCTTTATAATTTGAATTTTGTTTCTCTCCTCTTGGGTGTACCTTTTGGCTAGCGGGAATTGGACAGTTTTTAATTGTGAATACAGCAGCTAAAAATTCAAACCTGTTTCTTCATTAAGTTGTATGCCTAAAAGATGGATTTGCATTTTCATTCAGCTTTCTGTTCTTTGTCCATTTTTAAAAAAAGATTTTCTTTCTTTATTAGTTTGAGAGAGCTTCTGCATGAGTCAGGGGAGGGGCAGAGGGAAAGGGAGAAGCAGACTTCCCACTGAACAGGGAGCCCACCTTAGGGCTCCTTCCCAGGGCCCTGAGATCATGACCTGAGCCCAAGGCAGATGCTTAACTGACTGAGCCAACCAGGCAGTCCTTGCTCCTTATCCATTTTGATGCTCATTACTCTACATAAAACTGAGTGGAAAGAACCAGAGCTTTGGACAGTCTGTTTATAGACTGGGAGAGGAATATTAACATTCTTAAATATAATATTAAAATACTAATAAGCAATACGCAGATTAGCTGGGTTTGGAATAATGATTAGGTTTTTTTATTTTTATTTTTATTTTTTTTAAAGAATGTAGTTTACTACATTTTTCCTGGAATTGGCGTTAAACATCTCAAGTACTTAGGCAAAACAGGAAAATCATGCTCATTTACACAGGGCACACTGTTGAGTTCCCATGGTAAATTGACCTTCAAATTACGTTGTTTGTCTTTCTAGAAAAGAAACTTCTTATGCAGCCATGAGTGGGGAGGATTGGTGTAAAAAGGGTGGGGTTTGGAGATTCTGTTTTTGTTCCTTTAGGGCAGGGCCCTGAGGAAAGCACATTAGAATAAGACGGGTAAATCTGCAAGTTTCAAAATGACATTGGTGTGTTGAATTTTGCCTGTGTTTTAGTTGCCTTTTTTTAAATTGCATTTTTGGTTTTTTGCTGCCTGTCTCATTTGATTAGTTTTCTTTTCTTTTCTTTTCTTTTTTTTTTTTTTTTTTTTTGAAGATTTTTTTTATTTATTTGACAGACAGCGATCACAAGCAGGCAGAGGTCGGGGCGGGGTGTGGGGGGAAGCAGGCTCCCGGCTGAGCAGAGAGCCCGATGCGGGGCTTGATCCCAGGACCCTGAGATTCTG